AAAATATAATGATATTGATTGTTTACGATTGGTTTTATTTAACATAATTAATATTTGAAATAAATGACCAGGTATACCAAATATGGTACATAACAAACCACATGTATGCCAAACGATATATGATATATGTAATGTATTATTATAATTCAAAATATTAGTACAAATTTCGATACTTGTATTAAGCATTGTGTTGCTATAGATTAATGTCTTATCATCATATCAAATGTCTAGATGGTTTTATCGAGAAGCCATTGTGTATGAGTAGGTTGTACTAACATATTCTTTTATTTCTATAGGAGAACAATATGAAGAATGGAAAGAAAGAAAGAGAAAAGACTTTCTCCATGCTAATAAGAACGAGCTCTTTGGAAACATTGATAATAAAAAAGAAAAATGATCTTTGTTGTCATTTTCTGTTGAACAAAGATACAGAATCAGTAATATATTTTTCTGTAAGATCAATTTTTTATATGCAAATCTTAGTTTAGATGATTATTCTTATAATTATTTATTTTTCTACGAAAATAACTGAAACTTGTGAATACATATTTCATTTTTATTAGTCAAATGACAAAGAAAGGATAATTGTATACTTCATTAAAAAGACTAGAATTTGTGCTTTCAGCATGTTTGCTATGACATATGTCACAGAAATAGATTAGTTCTAAGCATTTGATAATAATATCAGTACGGAAGAAAACAACGACTTGAAATTTATGTTATCAAAACGATCAAATGGAGTACGATGATAGAAATAAAAATAGAACATGCCTAAATTATGTGAATATTTCGTAGTTTTTATTAAATTTTTTAGAATTTCAATTTCTAACAATAATAAGACGGAGTTGCAGAAATATTATCATACCGTATTTCAATAATTCAATTGTCTACGCCTATCTACTAATATTGACACTTGAAAGCTTGAATAAGTAAATGTATCCCAAAGTTCATTGTTTGATCTTGACGAAGCCGCTTTTCTTCATGATAAAAGCATCATATCATTAGTTTTTTTTTAGTCTTACATTATTGGAGAAAATGCTAACAACTTATATATTAAGTTACAAACGTTTTCTATCGCTTTTCTATAGCTTATTAGAAAAGTTAAAAGATAATATTCATGAGAGAGATGGGATGTTAAAATGGAAAGTTTTATTTCAGATTTGAAAAATAGTCTTCAAACATTACTCTAAAAATTCCTCGTGGAATATGAAAACTAATGATTATTCAATTATATTATCGAATAGTTTTCAAGAAAATATTCTATATCTAATGAACATTCCTATATTTTTATCTGCACAATGTCATCTTTTTTTTCAACGTGATTTCACCGAAACTTTATATCTTAATTGAACACAAGGTTTCATAATTATTGTGAATGGGTGCAGATAATGCAGAATTTAGAATAAGAATTTTTTAAAATGTGAAATGATAAATCGTATAAACTTTCTTTGTAGTTTGTAAAGTTTGAACATTTGATGATAAGAAATAATACTTAAGAAGAAAGTATCGGAATTGATTCCGAATTTTCGACTTCATATTTAGGCTATACATAAGTCTCAGTGACACTAAGAAAATTCAAAAAGCATTCATATTTAGGGCTCCTGGTTCAAGATATGTAGTTAACGTTATGGCGAAAAAAACATAGTGTTTTTTTTATTTTTCAAATAACCGTCTATATATTATGCTAATAATTTGTATGTTTAATTAAACTGAATTACGAAATTTGAAAACTTTAATAATGAAGAAGCTAGTCTCCAACAGGTTCTACAATACAACAAAACAACCAAACGATACTACAGTTAAGCCGAACATGAAGAAAATGCACTTTAATGGTATTAATCGATCCTAGGCTGTGTAGAACGGCTCATATTAACGATTCAAAAATTGTGCAAAAAACGAGTGCCATTTTGATGATCGTTTACGTTGCACTCTGGAACAAAGAAATGGGGCAATTAATGATATTTATTACCATCATCGTTTAAGTTCTAGTGGTAACGACCACCATTCCGACTACCGTTTCATCCACTTTCTCGGATGGCTTTTATACGAAATAAAAAAAATATCTTCAAAACGTCTCTGAATGCTTCTAATAATGCATAGTAGATAAATCTTGACGATCCTATCTACCACTTCTAATTGGACCACTTTCCGAAGTTTTGTTGATGGTTTTTGCTGAGATCGAACTGCATTTTACTCATTTTTTTTCTCTGAAACTCTATATTTTTTTTTGTTAATATGACGTCCTCATTAACTTTTTTGACCCGCTTCAAACATCAATAGATAGATTTTGTTGAGATCTATTCGATGATATGGCATGTCTTGTACAAAAAGCACTACTTTACTTGTCAGGAGGATTGACAAATTTATAGACATTTTTATTTTCTTCTATACTCCTTTAATTGATTATTTAATATATTTTAATTTCTATTACTATACAATAATGTAACGTTTTGTTGCTGTACGCAACTTCATCAGATAAAAAATACACTACATAAATTAAACCATATATTTTACAATAGAATAAGTAAAAAACAAACAAAATAGACAATTATTTTTCTTTTTTGTTAACTTTTAATAATGATACATTAGTGACTAAAAATCCAGTATATTATTGTTACCATCTTATTCCGTATCATTGTTCCAGATAAGAAAAAGAAAAATAACCATCTGTTTTGTCTGTTTTTTAATTTATTCTATTGTAAAATGTACAGTTTAATTCATGTGCTGTATTTTTTTGTATCTGAAGAAATTGCTCACAGAAACGAAACGTAACATTATTGTATAGTAATAAAAATTAAAATATATTAAATAATCAATTAAACAAGCACAGAAGAGAATAAAAATGTCTTTGAAAAACGTTATTATGTCATGCCACTCGACAAGTAACATGATGTCACTGTTAAATTACCGAGTTAAAATACATATTATTGCATATTCTTCGTTCGTTATTTTTTTCATTGGTATATTATAGATGATAGAACTCATTTTTTTTTGCTCTAGATACTTAGTAAGAAACTTATTGAAGTTTCAGTGATAATATTCGCTGCATATCTAAACAAAAACTCATACACATTTAAGAACAGCAAAAAATAACGGTAACAAGTTCCTTGTTAAAAAATACAATGTGGTCCAAAATTTACATTACCGTACAAAAAAGAATTGACTATCTTCTCCATAGCTTGACGAAATGGGCTGATTTGTTTTTTTATTGATAATACAAGAGTGTTCATGATTCATATCCATGGGTAAAGAAGTTGGAAAGAACCGTTTTTGACATTGGATGGATGCTTGTAAAGACAGGGTACTCACACGCATCTACGCTTGCATCCACATCGTTTTCATTTCTGTGCGATTGAATATACTTGAACTCACTCTCTCTGTGTACTTGTTTAATGTCCTTTCTTCTAGCATCATTCAATGTGTTCTGTATTCGCCATCTTTCGTTGAGTATGTTAATTCTTTTTCGAACATTTATAACTGTAAATACATGAGGGTGTGGGTGCACGTAAAGACAAAACGTTCATACTCACTCACACTGGCATTGGTTTTTTTTTGCATCCTATAAGAGGATAGATTTTTGTTGTTGCAGTCAATGGTGATATTTTAAAATGGTTCTTTCCAACTTTTCCTCCATGACTATGAGCTATGAATATTCATTTATCATCAGTAAAAACACCAGCTCATTTGGCCGAGTTATGCCGGAGATATTCAATTTTTTTTGTACCGTAGGTGACTTTTGACTCATCCTGTATATCCATAAAATTTTACTTTTTTTTTACTAGTGAACTACTTTATCTGAAAGAAAGTTTCATTTTACATCACACATAGAAGTATAATTATTATGTTTATGTGTGTACTTTCTTCATACATCTACTTTGCATGTAGCATGTATTGGTAAATTTGTATTCAGAAATTCTAGTTATGAAATGACATACTTCGTTTAACATTAGAAAAACATAAGTATAGTCTTGTCAAGGACGAAATTGGAATAATTAAAGTAAACTATTTGCGGCAAAAAACGGTGTAAACAAGACGTTAAACAATGAAAATACGGTCTTAATACTATCCATCAGTTTTTGATGGAAATGACTTAAACGGTATCAATTAAAGTCGTTGTTTGAGACAGTCAGAATGAATATCCTGAGCCATGTAGAAATGATAAAAGTAAAATATCTTCGGACGCCATAAAAAGCAGATCAAATCAAGAGTGTAATACTTTCCTTCATTGCATAGAAATAAGCTGAAAGAGAAGTCAGCTTTGATAACATGAACAATTTTCAGGATGAATCTCTCGCTATTCATTTGTATATTATCTGTATTGAATGTATTTAGAAAAGAAAAGTGCAATTAGTTCGAAATATATGAGCGATGCTATTTTCATAATACTATTTCGATATCGTATTTTAGTTAAGATTAAAATAGGATTGTTCGGATCATATAGGAATGATAGTTTGAAAAGAAACGAATGAAAATGTCTCTTTTTCGTCATCATCGTTATTAACAAAATATCTTCGAAAAGAACAAGCATAAGCACGAATACTTTAAGGGTTTTCTCAGTCTCTCATTGAGATTTACTTATAGACAAAGGATGAAGTGAAAAGTTCACAATCGGTTATGATACTTGTCGGAAGAAAAATTAAAATTTCAGTTTTTTCTATAGGACAATTTTAAATATTCTTAAACATACAGTAAAAACTTTATTATTTTCATATGTCCAAAAATACAATGTTTAAACTAGGTATTTGAACATGATTTCATTTTTAATGAATGATATTTGATCGCACGCTGTATTTCTACTCCTTGACAACAACATTTCTTTGTTGAACAAGTGCCATTACAGTTGCATATTTCAATAGAAGTAATTAAACTTGCACTCATATATGATTTACACGCTTGCATGAATATCATTGTTGATAATATTGTTGAATCGACATCATGTGAATTGTGAAAGTTACAGTTGGATAAATCTAATAGATCGAGTTCTTGAAACCGTGCGATGATTATTCATATTGTTGTATATCATTCGATGATGATTGCAACGATATTGGCTTGCACGGCCATATTTTAGGTATAACATTTGTTCTGTCTAAATTGTCATTTTTATTTCATTCTTATCTTTGGTCGATTTTATCGGACGTAAAACATATTTTAAATTTTTCAGAATTTGAATTTCTCCTCCGACTTATGCTTTACAATCTCATACGAAAGCTTTCTCGCTCAAATTCTTCCATTATTCATCTAAGCTATCAATAGAGACACCATATTGCTCATTACTATACATTTTCATTCTTCGATCATGGATTAATTCATTGAAAATACAATCTATTTTACATCAAATTTACCGCTATGATAAACTTTTCAAGACTTTATAATTAAAGACAATAAATTTATTTCATTAATCTGATCATTCTCGCATTATTTTATTAAAAATCAGAATTTTATCGATATTTCTTCTTTTTGTCACTTCCGATTTTATTGAAATTGATTTCGACATAAATATTTTTATTCCTATTTATGCCTTCCATTGTAAGAAAAACTAAATCTCAAAAAAAAAAAACAATAAAATCAACGGATGACAAATTTATTTTATTGATTTTTCTTGTGTTGCAGCCCATACAATAATAATTTGTCGAAACAAAACCAAAAAGGTCTATTTAAACCAAAACACATTTGAAGTTTATCATTAATATTTGTTTTCAATAAATTTTCAATTTCGTCTGTATCAGACAAACTACGCTTGCATGATACTGGAGATAAATGACAAAGAAGAAAACTGCGCTGTTCTTGTATACTTGATGAAGGATAAGCCTGAATTAAAAAATAAATCATCAATCTAGCCATATACGGAAACCTACCGTAGTAAATCGGAAATAGAGGATAAAAATGAACAGTATACATAAACATCGATACCAGGATTTCATAATTGGATGTAAATATTACGAGGTTTGATTAGAAGTAAGATTGAATAGTAAATGAAAGTGTTTTTCTTTCTTTTTTTTATATATAAAAAGGTAAGCTCAGTAGTTTATCTTCTATGCATCAATCTATCTTTATTATATTCCATGCATGAAATTCTTTTTGCTAAAAAAAAATGCGTAGGCATATCATGAATGTCTCAATCTGTATGAAAGGAAAATGTTAACGATAGTGATTGTTCTTCTTTTAACGGAAATTATCATGCTGAGATGTATTTTTTATGATGATGTTATAGTTGATGCAACATTCAAGGAAATGAATTGTTGTGTTAAACAGAATAAATATTAATGTAATATTGAATAACTTGAAAAAGTTTGAATTTCATTCAAGTGAACTGTTTCCACTGAAATTCTTTCTTTCTAACATGACATAGTCTGATCTTGCGAGTTATTTTTTATTTCTGTTTCAAAAGTCACGTACGTTTTTCATCAATTTAATTTTTATCATCAGCATTCTCAAATAAGAACTTCAAACATTGTTAACAATAATGTTTATTGAAAATCTAAAGTGAGATTTATCAAAAAAAAAAAACTAATACTTTACTCATGTCGTATGTTTGTTTGTACAACGACCGATATACCATGGTAATAATAAAAACCGTTGGTAGCGCTTATGACCTTTGGTTCTAACTATAAACAATCGTGGAGAGTGTTCTCTATCCAAATTCGAATTATTTATTAGAAAGAACTCAAATTAATCGAGGAGAAAATAGTTTTAGAATATATTTTACAAATAAAAATTTATCTCATAACTGGAAACGATTCGGATTCTGTGGCTCCAACGCATCAACGCCGTCAGAGTGCATCAAAAACCACTCAATTCTACCAATTTTAACCAACTTCAAAAATATTCATCCATTTTGATACAATATACCATGACGCAACACTTACAAAAATAAAACCGACGATAGTTTCTCGGTAGTTATCACATGAGTATCTTCAACCTAGGTAGTATTTAAGAGGATGCAGTAACTATTAATCAGCCTGATGCTTCTTCATCGTTCTAGTTTTAGTTAACTGTTTTGTAAATTTTATTGATGAAAATAATGGAAGAGAAAAAAGTTCGTAGTAATGTCATAATATCGACACAAGGGATATTTAAATCTCAAAGTCAAGATATCCAAACAGGTACTCATGTAAACTGTTCACTATAATAAAAACAACAACTTATCGTGAAGAACAATATCTTCCTTATTGAAGATGGACTTAAAATCGGCAAAGTAGAGAGATTTGAGTTGATTTGCTGTAATCACTTCGTTATCCAATATAGAGTGGGTATGGATGAAGAGTAGACTGAAGTCAGACAAGATACCCGCATTCACATTTACACATCAGAGTTGTAGCCGGGTGAGAATTTTTGAACCAATCTGATCTGGCCGGCTCAAAAAGTCTTTTAGATCGGTAGAACGCGGCAAAAACTAATCAGTTTACTGAATCATTATTAATCAGTTAATGAAAATGGCTTTAAAAAAACATTCATTTTCATTTTTGTACTTAGGTTTTTACGAATCTCCAGGAATGAAATATCATGTTATACTCGTCCATATCTATTAAGTTTCTCAAAGATGAATATGTGATAATTCTATACACAGTGCGAAAAAAAGGGCCATTTATTCATCAACTGGTTGCTGAACTCTAAATGATAAATTTTCTCATTCAGCCTTTTCAGACAAACCTAATGTTTCTCTTCAAACGACAATTCAAACCTAAACTTCATCGTTATCAAAACATATATAATATAAGTTTAACTTTAGTAACACAGGTTTCAATTGAGATTTTTAAAAAATAAAGGATACTTCGATTAAGAGGACAGAACGATGCAGATGAATAGAAGACAATAAAATAGGTAGTTCTTGAAACAACATTGTTTGATTACTTGTTATAATCGTAAGCAAACTTGTTCTCAACAAGTTTTATCAGGAAAAATGACATATTTATAAAATATTTCCCAACCGGTGAAAATCAGCCGATCCAATCATTTCAACCGGTCCGATTGCAACTCTGCCATATACCACACCCTCAATATTGGATGTAACAGTATTAGAATATCTATGAAAATTCCCTATTCATATTTTATCTACTTTAAACCTATTCGTTGTATGCAAACAAGGAAATTAATGTATGGCAATGAAATATTTAAAGTCTTTTTGATACGTACTAGATCGATTATGTCAAATAATCAGGAAAACTTCAGCCTATTCTTCTTTTATATGTAAGGATGCTACCGATTGATTTTGTATCAAAAGTATACGTGATCATCAAGTTGTTGGAACATTGCTGGTTGAGATATTCATACTGATTATAATGCCAGATATGCATGTTTACATTTTTCTTCCGTTAATCTATTGCTTTTTGTTCTATCTTGATAATAATTTCAACAAGAAGTATTCTACAATGTCATTCAAACGTATAGATCTTAATTGGCAGCATTGATAGCATGAAGCTATCTATTAACAATTAGTGTTCAAATTTAGTGGTAATGATCAGGAAAAGAGAACGAATACATTTTCGATCCTTCTAATTTATCTGAATACTCGATTTGAGAACGATGAAATTGGTCGAAAATACTGTGTTTAAGGACTATCATTGTTTGTGATGAATAAAAAATAACGTCTAATTATCTTTTATCAATCAATATCTATTTCATCATGTATTTTATTTATAATGCAAACTGTTGTGAATCTATCTTCTTAAGATCACTATTACTATATAATATTTAAGATTTTTTCAAAATTCCACTATCGTTGTTTTTTTCGAGACTATTTGACATTACCGTTCATTCAATTTTCTCTTGCATATATAATACATGTCTTGATTTTGATTGGATTCTCTTCGATTCGGTATGTGCTAATCTATCTGTACGAATTACATACGGATGATTGAATGTGTAAATCATTTTATAGAAACAAAGAAAATATTTTATAAATGAATGTCTACTACAGAAGAAGAAATGTATTGAATTAACTGTCAAGAAAAGATTTACAATATAAACATCTCTTATTATTAGCTGAGATTTTATAAAAATGAATTATAGTAACAATAATAACAAATCGGTGGAATTTAAGTTTAACATAGTACCCGATATCGGGTTCAATGATGATTCTAATGATAATTGTAGTTTGTAATGATCTTGTCGTCTTACAATGCATATTCATGGAAATTTTCTAATAAGGAAAGCATCGCAACTGATAAATCACTTTTGAGTCAAGACTACATGCATTATGTAGATTAAAATTAACTATGAATATCCGGAAAAGAATTCATGCACGTCGCTTATTTCTGCAGAGATACTACAATTTTACGGTATTTTTTTAAAATAAATGCCGTGGTATCCATCAGGAACACTAAGAATACTAATTTTCGAATTTCGACTTGAAACTGTACAGAGACAGGCCTTAATGAGAGTAGTTTATTGTATAGGTTTCAGATCTTTTCGTCGTTTTTAACTTAAGATACAGCCATAGTAAAAGAGTGTCCTTTACACCGCTTATATACATCGGCAGATTCTGTGTTCTTAGTTCAAGAGAGAAGCAAATCAAAAGACTTGAAACTTTCACTATTAACTACTCTAATTAAGACCTGTCTGTATGGGGCAAGTTTCAAGTTGAAATTCGAAAATTAGATTTTCTGTTCTTCATGAGGGACACCACGGCATTCATTCAGAAAATACCATAAAAGTGTAGAATCTCCGTAGTAATAAGCTAAGTACACGAACTCTTTTCAGAATATTCATAGCTCATTTGAGTCTACATGATGCACATAGTCTCAATTTGAAAGTAATTTATCAATTGGAAAATGTTCTTCATTAGAAAAGAGTCATACCAGTCGGATATTATCTGTTTATCGCTACAATTTAATGTTACCTGTATGAATCAATAGATTCAATGAATCATCTAAATAACATTTTCTTATCTAAATAAAATATACAATAAAATGGTTATCATTGAAATTGTAAGGTGATTAGAAGGCGTAGCACAATTCAAATACGTATGCTCATTCCATCTGAATATTGATTTCTTCTGTCTAGAATTGTTTTCGAAAAAATTATTGTGTGTCAGTAATTCATAAGAAGAATTCGAGTATGATTATCGGTTTAATGATGTTTAGAAAAACGCTATTCTTAACGGAAAAGTCTAACCCAAGATCTATGTCTTATCCGAAAAGACTCCTCAAATACAATATTTGACATCAGATAAATGCGGAAAATATCGCAAAAGTTCATCTTATTGAAATATTGAAACATACTAGATGTATTTCGTGAGTTTGATAAACAATATTGTAAAGCAATCGTACAATTATCTTAATTTCTAAAGCGTCCTTTTTTTCAGACGTCATGTAAATTCGAATTGACATAATGCAGTTCCATTTACGCTTTTGAATTTTGTATAAACACACTTTGAAAAGAAAAAACCTTGATCGAAAATAATGAATGAAACCTCAAATCTTGTTATAAATGTTTTCTTTCTTCATAATTGAATGAATCACTACTGTACTTTAAACATATAATAGAAACTGAAAAACAAATCAATTAGACCTGGTATGCACCTTGCAATTAGCAGTATGCAAATTATTTTCAATAGAATGCACGGCTCAAATAAAGCTATAAAAAACAGGTCAAATGGAAGAAAAAAATGTACTTTTTTCTTTAGATGCGTAGGTACCTAAATTACACACGATAATTGTTGTTTATGTAACTACAAAATGTATAAAAGCATAGCATTTTCAACAAGACGAACGAATCGTCGTCAAAAATAAGAAGAACACCAGTACCAATGACCATGCAATCCATCGTCGTATTATCGCTGGTAAAATCTCTTTTATAGGCTTTTTCTAAAATTCCATTTGATCTATTGTTTTTTATAGTTGGTTCTTACTGTCAGTGTTCTTTCAAAACCACCTCCACCGGGCGCACCACCAGGCCCGCCACCTGGAGGAAATGGTACTGCTCCATCAGGTCCGCCACCTGGAGGAAGTGGTGGTACACCACCAAGTCCGCCACCTGGAGGAAGTGGTGGTACACCACCAAGTCCGCCACCTGGAGGAAGTGGTAGTACACCACCAGGCCCGCCACCTGGAGAAAATAAGGGTGGTCCACAAGGTCAACAAAAAAGCGGTCGTAAGCAACGTTCATTCTTATGGTATTAGACATTAAAAGTTGACTATTTGCCATAATTATCCCAACAATGATCTCAAACGATTTTTTTTATCACACATTATTACACTATTGTGAAGTAAAATAAATAGACCTTTCCATAAAGAAACGAAATGCAATAAAAAGTACAGCAATAAAAATTCTTCATGAAAGAGAATTGCAGAGCCTTCGCTTGCACGTGATATATTCGTCAAAATGAAAGAAATATCTTTCAGATAAAACGACAAGACAAACCTTTGAAACACAAGCTTTCAGAGGAAAAGAATACTTACGCATGACAGACCTTGTTTTAAGACAGTCATAAAATCGTTTTGCTCAGACAACAAATTGACAATAGCCGTCATCCACATAGCCATATTGTTATTAATTAGTCAAGCCAAGTTGACGTTCTCCAATTTCTATTTATGTAAATACTAAGCTTGCTATGTGTTTGACTAGGCAATATTTTATTCTATCAAATCTTTGGCCAACATCTGGAGATTTTTACTAGAAAAAAAAAATATTGAAGATGATTAAAAATCTGGCGAAAAAAAAGAGCTTATGCTAGAGATATCATTTTTCTGTTAATTTAAAATAAATTTATATAATATTTTTTGTAATTTATGTTTAAAAATAAGTTCCAGTTATTCGCACCATGTAATTTATTAAATTATAATTTAAATTAAATAATTCTATTTCTTTATAATACCTCGTATAGGATATATATCCTATTTTTGCATATAACATTTATCTATAAATTATGCGTTACATAATGTTTGTATTCAGCCAATAGATTATGATCTGGCGAAAGATTCTACTCTTCATTAAAATGAATTTTTCAAAGAAAAATCAAATATGAAGTTATATCACAGGAAGATGGTACATATTTCAAACATTCATTTCTGAGTTTAAAATATTTGGGATGTTTGTGTTAGCCGTATCTGTAACTAAAGCCAAGTATATGCACGCACATTCATATTCAGGTTTCTTATGGGACAGCGTATGGAACCATGTCAAGCTTGACTTCAGCTTTGACAAAACCGTTTAGGCCTTTTCGGATAATCGCAAACACAAAATAGATAATGTATTGAGTGGCGGCTGAGCAGCAAGCAAGAAATATTAGTTTCACTTTTTGTCAAAACTAAAGTCAAGTTTACTATGATTCGATGCGCCGTCTCATGAAGAATCTAAATATGATCTTGGATTGTGTTCTTGACTTTGTTTTAGTACAGTAAGATAGCAACAATTATTCGTCAACACTATGCCAAAAGAAACCGATTTTTTTATGAAGATTTTTTATTTTCTACAAATTGAAGTATTTTAAGTCTATCTCGACCAAAACAAAAGCTTTAAAAAAAATTATCAAAATGCTTAGAATTAAAATCTCCAAAAAAAACTTCAAATTTCAAAATCGGAATTCACCTTTGTACTACACGATTGACACTATGATAATACTTTCCTCATAAATATTTAAAAAACACGATATCTTATCTTTCTTTATTTTGCATTTTGTCAGATCAAAAATGGGGCAGCTCACGTCTAGTGTATGTTACAGAGCAAATGACTCTCTGAAAAATCTTTTAAATGGCTATACTCACGAGATCGATCTTATTAGAACTTTTTTACTCCCAAGAATGCATACTACTATTTACAGAATGTATCGTGTGCATGAAATAATAACATACTCAAACTATTTAGAAAATCATAATGTATGGTAGTGAAAATGTAGCCAAGATCAGGATCAATCAGAGTATTTATACATAATTAATATTTTATGCATTGAATTTGAAAGGTTCTTGTATGAAATCAGTTTTGACAAAATCTTAATTTTTTCGTAATTATACTCAAATATTATAGAAAATGTCACCTCGATATGTATATTTTTATTAATGAGATTTAGAAAATTGATCTTATGCAAAAAATCAGGTCTACAAGATGTACAAACCCTGAAAGTTTCATGCAATTTTGAAATACATTTGTCTTAGGTGGTAGAGACCAAACTTGGTATCCTAGATATCTTTTTTAATCCTACCTATGTGATAATTACCGAGAAACTACCTATGAGTATAATGTGCGATATATCGGCGGGTTACTGCCAGTTTTTTTGAAAGCGTTGTATCATGGTGTATTGTATCGACACGGGTGAATATTTTTGAAGTCTGTTAAATCTGATGGAATTGAGTCATTTACGATGAACTCTGATGACATCGATACATTAGAGCTGTCTGTACTAGCCACAGAGTCTAAAATCGGTTCCAGTTCTGACATAGATTTTTATTATAGATGGTGCTGCAAAATTTTCATTAGTAAAATCTATTTTAGAATTAATCTTTTTATCGATGAAATTAAATTCTTTCTAATAATAAATACGAAATGAGATAGAAAACACCCTCTCCAATCGTGTATAGCTGACAGCGAAAGTCGGCAGCTGTACCATCGGTTTTTTTCAAGTACAATAATATGCTAGCAATACTGTAAATAAATGTGCAACATAGGTTTTCCATCCGCTAGTCGAGCGTTAGGTCGATTCGATAATTTTCATTCTCTATCATTTAACAGTGTTAGTTCGAATCCGAAAATCAATGAATTTTTCTTTTCTAACTTAATTATGTTGTCTTAATCATTTGATACATCTGAAGTTTGTCGATTGTTTAACGTCCACAGAAATGATTTTTATTTTTTGTACTCCTATTTTTGTATCAAGATCGTTGCAATACTTAACCACTCATAAGAATTATTGACGTTCGAATCAATTTATCAGTTTATTTGAAAAGACATCACGTTTACGGAAACTTTCCATGTCATTGAATAGCTATGAGGAAGATAGTCTTCCTTTACATCATGAATTTATACCATCATCTCAGAATCAATCAGTTAAAAGATTAGTTCGATCTCGGATACATTCACAATATTTAATGATCAGACAATTGTATTCACTGTTATTTGAATTATGAACCATTTTGACAATGCCATCATATCGATATACTAACGCTTTAATCCGTCGACTAGAATTACAAGGTTTTGATTAATCATCTTGTCGATATTGCTATGATAGTAAACAATGTATGGAACTGAATTGACCACTATTGAGTATTCAATGTCGAATATTAATCATTGAAGTACAAGAGCCAAAAAGCATTGTAGAATTAATTAATTTCATGATAAATCTTTGAACATTGCATGTTTTGCATGTGCATAATAAACGTAGTAATAAGTATGATTATGTCAAAGTATTACAATATTGTTTGCCATGAACAGGAACTATCACTCGATTTTCTTGTGGACATTTTATTATTCGATCATGAGTTTTATTTATATAAATTTTGTTAAATACAGTTTTAAATAGAAGGGCGTGGATATAGGTGAAGAAGGACAGGAGATCCACATTCAACCTCTTCGATCAATCTAAAGTTGCGTTTTCTGTCAATAAAATTAACAATACAATATGATCGCTTAGTAATTTTAAATGATATAATTTATTTTAATTATCATCTACATTATACAAAGATTTTCAGTTAAAACATTTAATTCTTTGATCGAAAAAAACAAATAGCAATTGATAAAATAATGACGAATTAGTTATATTCATAGTTATACTAAAAACAAGAATTATTATTGTTTTGATTACTTTTTAAATCATATTACAAAGAATATGATCGTATTTGTGTTTTTTTTTGCGAAAGTATGAAATGAAAATTGTCGGTAGAAATTAAAAGATTTCTATGAAAGTATACATCTTTATTATTTTACGTTTCAATATATTCACTGTTATAGGAAAACATGATTCAAAAAGAAAAATTTCAATTAATATAATATTCGATAACTAAGAATAATAAATAATCAAAAGATATACTATCTACAATTATCAGTAAATAGTTTTAATACTATATTAATTTATTAATAATTCTTTCATTTTATAGTTCAAAACGATTAGTTTTTATTATTAGTGTGAAGTGATATTAAAGTTATTGTATATTTCAATATTGTTTCTTTTGCTATCATAACGAGAAGAACAAACATTTTAAATCATAAAATATGTTTTTCACAGATAAATAAAATTATGATAAAGTAAAATTAGGCACTTCATCCAATATTTCTTCTAGAATTTGCTTATTGATACATATAAAATAGTCTTGATATTATCTTGTATACTAAAAAATGAATAAGATAAGAAAATATTTCTTTTTTTAATAATAATTGTTTCTAAATTATTTTCGAAAATTTCTTTAATACTTTACGAATTGAAAAACATAGTCATTATATGACTTTTTTACAACATTTGATGACATGCTTTTCTTATTGCTATTATAAGAGTGATGTATTTGTTTTCATTTTTTAATGAATTCTACCGGATCCATGTGAAACATTGTATCAGAAAATTATATGATCACTCTTGACAATGACATATTTCATTGTTTCATTGAATTATAAAAATGTAATTCGATTAGCAAATAAAAAACAAATGTAAAATAGCAACCCTAAATATCATAACTAATGTCGGCGCCAAAAGTAAATGGTAAAAACTCTGAGAGGAATATCTTCCGAACGGATTCAGCTACCGACCTGCGGTTTTTACCAATCGAACGAGGAGGAGTGGGGGCGTCTTTTTCTCCGATAATGTATACGACGGAATCTTTTTATAACTAATCCTATTTGAAGAACATGCAAAAGAACCCATGAAAATGACCTGTCAGCTAGATGAAATTTTGATTTGAGCTTTGGTTTAGATAGAGAAACTTGAGATCTATAATTCCAGACACAATGCGCTTTCTTACTTTTTCCTACATTTTCCTCGAAATCTCAAGCTACCTTGATATAAACTGTAAAAACTTAGTAAAACACTAGCGAAAATCCCTATGATTTGCGCATGTAAGTACATGATCTCATTTGCGCAACGTTAGAATGTAACAAGACAACCATTTGCCTTGTATCTGGAGCTATAGATCTCAAGTCCCTCTATCTAAATCAAAAGTCAAAATCAAAATTTCATCTAGCTGGAAGGTCATTCTTATGG